TGAACAAAACGTCTGCTTCAAGTGAATACATGTATCAAGTAAGTACGAGTGAACTAAATGTTATCCGCCAGGCAATGTCTTGGTGGCTATGGTCTGAATACCTCTAATGCAGAAGTACAACCATGGAACACACGTATCACTTACCCGAGATATACTTATCATTTCAAAGAATGATGTTGTTACAGCTCCCAAGCTGCCAGAAAGTAAATCTGGATGTTCGCTATTTGGAGGTTTCCTCTCGAGGAGAACGCTCTATCGTATAAGCGACGATGAGAACCATAATTGATGTTCTCTGATTAGTGAGACTTCTTATTGGAATCCCCGGACTCAAGATCCGATCATCGATGGATAAACATGGGAAATTAAATGTCTCAAAAGGTTATGATATCTTGCATTCTCATTTTGTGTGTTTAAGATATTATTATTATTGAGGAGATGAACTATGTAGCAAACAGCCAGACCTGTTATGGCTGACTGAGAGAGAAATATTCTATTGTGAGCTACTTCAATTCTCCACTGTTCACTCTGGACATTAACGACGACGACTGCTAGGCCCGCCTTGAGATAGACTCATAAGACAAGTTGCGTGGGAGATACAATACAGCGCTATGAATTCCAAAAAATTCCAAAAATTTCCAAAAAATCAAAAGAAGCACCAGTGGTCACCATAAATGCTCACAACACATTCCACCCACCGAATTCGCCAGTACCATATGCTTATGGCTACCTAAACTCGAAAAAAGCTACTCTCGCTTGCTCTCAACATCAGTATTGTCACTGCCTTTATGTATTGTGTTCCTCATGGGACCAGCCTCGAGGACCGTGAAGTATCTCTTTGGTCGATCACCAGAAGTTGCTTTCCGGAGTCGATCCATTCACCACCATCGGTGATTTCACCTTTGTATCTGTCTCTGTCTTGGATCGCGCTGCTACTGCGGCTACTGCAGCTACAGTACTCGATCTGGCTGCTAAAACTCCATCCCTTTCTCTTTCTTCCATTGTCTGGATCTTTCTCCCCCTGATCTCCTTGGGTCTCCCCGACTTCTTTCCCTGAGATGCCATAGGTCTTGCTTTGGAGGGTTTGATATCTTGCCGCCGTTCTCTGGGCTCTGCACCTTCCTTTGCAAGCTTTGCCCGCAGAACCTTTCCACAAAACACCACACCGTCAAGCATTTCCACCATAGCCTGGGCCATGTTATGCGTGTGGAAAGTCAGGAAAGTATGACACTTTTGCCTCCCATCTGGATGCTTTTCGATAATCATATTGCGTAGAGCATCAAGAGGGTTCTCGGTGGATAGACTGCCGCGATATTCCGATTTTATGACATTGTACAAGTAAGTTTCTAGATAAGAAGTCGATGTTTCTCGAGGAAGCTGGGTAATGATGACTTTGCTTCTTACAATTTTCATTTTGTCGGATCGTTGAGTTATGTAAGAAATAGGAGGAGATGCTGCGAATGATTGTGAAGATGGTTGTATGTATACTGGTGTATCTGGTGCCATATCACCGGCATACAACATAGATGGATAGGTGAGCGGTACTGGCACATTTGGATACATTTCAATACTTTGTATCTGTTGAATCTGAGCCTGTTAACTTATGTCATGGCAATGAGTTTGGGAAGTTCTACCTGAGTCAAGCCTCGATCATTAAATTTGGCTGATGTAGAAGTAGAGATATATGTGCTTTCGGTTAAAGGAGCCATTTGAATGAATGGTATCTGTTGAATTGGCATTGCAGACGCTGGTGACACCGAAGATGTTGGTGTTGGGAGTGCCATTCTTGTCCTTGACACATTTCCGCAGGAGTTTGAGGTGGTCCACGGGACAGCAAGATCCCGCACTTGAATCGGCTTCGTTTCATTGCGGCCATCTGCACACAACGCTCGATTTCCCATAGTTCCACCTTGTAAATGCTCTACGGATGTTAGTCCTATCTCTTCATAATTGAAGAACTTACGGAGTGCTTTAAGAAAGTCCTCCTTTCCACGCACTGTCACCCACCCACAAGTTGACCCTGGATATACCTGCGCATGTTCGATTGCAAGACAATGTCCCTCAGAATCATGTTTTCGTGCGAAGTCTTTTAGAATTTGCCATGTGCATGACCATGGGAGGTTGCTGACCAAAATATAGTATAAGCCAGTTACATCACCGGGTAAAACTTGAGGCATGATGTTTGATATGGAAATTTGATAGTAAGATTCAAGATGGACGGATGTCAAGAAAGATTTGTTTCGAATAAGAAAATTGTGCGTAGGCTACAGTGATTTTAGGGGGCTGTGACTTTGGGGTATATTTAACATTTGATGAGTTATTAAAGGAAGCCTTGATGTTAATTACTCGATCAAAAGATTCTAGGCATTCACTGCAAAAGGCCTAATGGGGCCAGAAATAGATAGAATAACAGGACTCAGAATTAAGAAGAGCAAACGAACTCTTGCAGCAATTTTTGTCGATTACCTGTCAATCTCTCAAACAATTTATCAGCTTCTTGTGAGGCAGAGATGGATTGCTATCTATCTGCAAGTGGAAAGCGGAATTAGACATAATTGTCAGCTGCGATGTTGTCAAAAAGGCGGTATCCCAGAGTAATGGTTCGAAAAAGAAGATGAAGAAAAAAAAGTTTGAGATGGATTGATCCATGAAAGTACCTGTGTAACGTAAGGTTGGAGTCGACAAAAGAAAAGCTTCAGATTCAAATTTTGATTCAGATACTCCACATGTCTGCCTGCCATCCTGCGTCTTTCCGGGGTCATTAACTATCTATCCCATCTTTTTTGCGTGATTGGAGAACAAATCAACGATACGCCGGGAGATATATACATCTCTAAGATACCAAGACTCTGAATGAATGGGAACTTCCATATCAGTGGTGCGCCTTCTCCGAATTTCCATCATGCTTCCCGAACGCATATGAGTCTTGGAAATGTGTGGAGGCTTGGATAACCAAAATAGATAGAGGCGATGGAGAAGTTGCAATTGCCATTGAAAGAGACCCAGGGCATGCGTACTGTCACAGACTCTGCGACATGAGTTAGTTTGTAGTGGCGCAGCCGACCCTCTACTTGTTTCGACATCGATTTTCCAACTGGTCCTGAATATTGAACTTTCCCTTAGAAAACGGCTTCGAGGATACTGACTTGAATTTTTCGAATTCAGCTTGAAGAAGTTACTAGGGGTAATGCAGAGATCCTTAGTAACGGCCCCTATTTTCGAGGGCCCCTTTCCTGCGAATTTTGAATCGTTAAGCTCACGTAGATATCGACTTTTCGAGAATCTCCCTCTGGTCCAGCCAGGTGGTGTATAGCCAGATATTCTTTGTGTAACTGAGGATACATCTGCCGTTTAACTTCAACGCTTTACATTGACTGCGGCAAGTACGGCGATGCCGCGATTGGTGGATGTTTGGCATATATATTAAATCAAAGGCCCAACCAAGATAGAGTGATTAGCCACCAACCCGGATCAGGAACTCAGGGTTCTACATGACACCACCAAGCCATAACAAGAACCAGGTTGTCAGCATGGCAACATGGGACTGCAGACGCAGTCACAAAGGCAAACATACACGTATAATATATTTGGCCCTCACTTTTAGAGAAGATTGTTGTGTGAAAGCTTCCCCTACAATTCAAAGAATATTCCGAGCACTTTCTAGCTCTTTAGTAAATTCATAAGATTAAATTTCTGAATGAATCAAAGGATAGTGATACCTTGGGTTTTCAAATAACAAGATATCTCAATCCAGAAAGTATAAAACGATCGGAACAAATTTGGATCCAACTTCGAAATTTATGTTTTAGATATCTTTCATGATTATTGTGAGTACGATATTCGGCTATTTTGTCTGGTCGCAAGACTTAAATTCATGCAACTGATGATCACCCCTACGGTTTTCTAGGAAAGCTTAAAGGACTGGAGAAATATACATGCATGTAGGAGAAGACGCAGGGAAGACACAAGTACAATCGATCGAAGATTTTTACCACAGGCATGCATGCGTGCATGCATGTGTAACATGAAAAATGGCTGGCTTGCAGCGAATTGATGGGCTGCCAATGGAAGACTCCAAAACGATTTGATTAGATACGATGTGAACTTGGCATGAATTGTGCGTCTATTGATGCAATAGCTTTTAGCCCTACAGAATGTGTCGAGAATTTCTTCCCCGCGCAGAGACACAGCATACTTGAACTTTCTGGAGGGATGGGGTTCAGGAAACAATTTTACGGGTAGTCACGTATCAGAGTCGGTCAATAGGATGTAGTCCGAAGCGATTAGGGCCTTGAGGAGTCATTCATAAATAGTCATCGATATCAGTACATATCAAATGCAAAATGTCTTTGTTAGGTTTTCATTGGCTTGACACAATTGAGAACAAAGACAAAGTGAAAAGGGTTGAATTCTGATCGAAGACAGCTAAAAGTACCAGAATGAATCTTTTCAGGGGGTTTCAACTCGACAATCTATCGACTTGAGGGGTACTTCCTTTGGACTACTTGAGGATTTTGGTATCATTCTTATTTGCTAGACAATTTGAGCGATATGATATTCGGATATTGTTCAAGGTTGAGGGTATCAGGGAATTTATGGATATCGAGCAACCAGGAACGTTGACATCATTTGCTTGATTTATAGGTCTTTCAATATTTGATTAATCTGAGGACATGCGTATCATTTGGCCATATCTATTTGTTTATGACACTTGAAGCCTGTGGCTGTCCTAATCGACAACACTTAGCATTACCGGGATATGAACAGCAAAACCATGAGAGAGAATTCTGGTAGGTAACACATACATTGGTAGTACAGCATAAAAAAAAGCCTCATTTTCGAAATCAATTCTACATAACGCATACACGAAATACAAGGGCAAGGGCCAAAGAAGAAAGTAACATCAATCAAATCCAATTCTGCCTGCACCTGCGCCCGCGCCACTGAGCTTCTTAGCTCTCAAAATATGCAATCCTCCTCCTGACTTCTATCAAACCTTCAATTTACGCTCGATAGGGTTGAGCGACATATGAAGCGACGGGAGTAGAGAAGCTGTAGGGAACATAACCGTGAATTGAAGAAGTAGTGGTGATGGTCGAACTAGAACTGCTGGTGGTCGAGTGTGAAGACGAACTTGAACTGCTAGTAGTTGAGTGTGACGATGAGCTAGTTTTGCTTGTGACTGAAGACGAGCTGCTTGAGACGATATTTGTCTTCGCGCTGCCCGTTGAAGATGCATGGCCACTGCCGCTAATACTTCCAGTTGGTCTGAAGGAACCCGATGAGTGTGGACGCCCGGAGCTGCGAATGCTGCCTGATGGTTTGATACTACCAGATGGCTTGATACTACCAGATGGCTTGATACTACCAGATGGCTTGATACTACCAGATGGCTTGATACTACCAGATGGCTTGATACTACCAGATGGCTTGATACTACCAGATGGCTTGACACTGCCAGATGGTTTAAAAGTGCCGGATGGTAGTGCGAACCCTGTTCCCGTCTCGATATGATGTACCCCAGTTCCAGTGCCAATAGTTGTTTTTGGCCCACCAGTAGAAAATGGTGCTTTTGATGAGCCGGTCACGCTAATGCCCAACTCAGAGTGCGCGGATGTAGGTCGGACACTGCCGGATGGGAAGCCATATGAGTAAGTGCCGTTGCGAGAATATGGAAGGCCTGTGCCTCTAACCGTACCGGTCGAATATGCTGTTCCAGTCGGTGCATGGCTTGTGGTGGTAGTCTTCTTACCCTTGGCAGCAGATACGAATCCGTCATACTGAGCCTTCGATTTAGGATTGATGGCAAACACCATGCCTGACTCACACTCATTCTTTTGACGACTAAGACAACATTAGTGAGAGTGATGAAATCTGTAACGGGCCGATACATACCTGAAGAAAAACAGTGGGTTCGTGGCGTTTGTAACGGGGAAGTCGACAAATGTAGTCATGTTTTTAGCCAGAACGGGCTTGAACCCCGAATCGTAGACACCATTCATAAAGCAAGGAGCCGCGATATCACAAGAAGTTACGGTGTGATTGGTTGGGTAAAAATTGAAGCGCACGGTATCTCCTTCCTCCGCATCAATGTATTGAGGAGAGAAAGAGAGAGTGCCATTTTGGCCAATTGAGACAACATGCGTCGGCTTGGTTGGCTTTCCGGTTCCAGTGGGTTTGTATGAGACGCTGATTCCTGTTCTAATACTACCCGTTGGATAGATAGGCTCGCTTCCGTTTCCAAACGAATATGGTGGTCCTGTAGGCTTACCAGTAGATGTCACTTTGCTGGTCTTGGTTCCAAGAAGACTTTCCGAGTGTGTAGGTGGGAGACTGGGCGTGGAAGTAGCACTGGCAATCTTGGTTATTGTAACTGTGCTGGCTTCACCGTAGACATCAATCGTGACATCAACAGTGATGATCTGAACTACAATTATTTCTCCTCCTGACCCATAAACAACCTCTGTGCAGTCATAAGTTGTAGCACCAGTAGGACAGACTTGAACTGTTGAAACCCCTGATATCACGTTTACTTGTGTAACGGCTCCGGTAGAACCGGCCGAGGGAAGGGGTGTGACCTGAACTCCCAGAAGCGATCCTGTTCCACTTATAATAGGAGTAGAAGTTTTGAACACCTTCAAAGATGTCGATGTGGAAGTGGAGCCTCCTCCAATAACCGTTCCTCCATTATTGACTGTAATAGTTTGGGCAGGGGCTGTAATAGTTTGAGCAGGTGCTGTGATGGTAACTGGCGTGGGAGCAGATCCGCCTCCAAGTGTGACAGTCTGATATATTGTTGTACCAGATTCCTCTGCTTCGCCGTACCCTCCACCTCCTCCAAGAGTAACAGTGGATGTTACGAATGAAGGTTCTGTGACAGTTATAGTAGTGGGCTGATAGATTGTGGTTGTCACAGGAGAACAGTTAGCATCTGGAGATGCAGCCCCGATTCCAGAAAGGAGAGAAAGAGCAGCTGCGCGTGAGAACTTCATGATGGATATATGAATAATAAAACGTTAAAAACCCCCCAAAAATAATGCAAGAAAAACGAACTGGTAAGGACCGTAAAGGGAAAACTTCCCAAAAGACAAGATTTTTGAAAGAAAAGAAAGACTGGGCTGAACTTGGAACTTCAAAAAATGGCAGATACAGCCAGTTATACGAAATGGCTTCAATGGCATCATGGCCGAAAGACAGTGCCACAGTATGGGATTTTGGCTCTGAAAGTTACATGCTGCGCAAAAAAGCATGTCATGATTCTGGGGAGATTACAGTCTGTGGGATCTCAAGGTAGCTATACTCTGTAGATTACTTCAACACAGGATCGGTAAAAATATTAAATTACGACTTCGAATGACATGAATATGTTATTGGTAGAATTACTACAGAGCTAGGTAAATTTCGTAAATCAGAGTTGCACTGCTAACGATGTGGAAATTTGCTCTTCAGTCTTTATTCTAAAGAGGATTTGGGATTTGAAGTAAGAAGAAAATTGTGTAGCATTGGAGGATCCAGAATGCCAATTTGGATGGGAAATAGTAAGCGTTACTCAAAAATAACATCACATCAGCCACTCAGATACAATTATATCCAAAATAGAATGATTATGCATAATTTTTGGGTTTTGAGTCATGGAAAGGTTCAATTAAATCTTCAATCTTCCTCTGAAATCCATATTCACGTGAACTGCGACATTTTTGACAATTTGAAGCATTTTAGACCTCTAACAGAGGACAACAATCAGTTGTACACTCTACATTCCCGAGCGGCACATGCCATTGTCAGAGCCAGTCATTGATATAGAATGTTAGAGCCGTGGCTTGTTTGAGATGAATTTCAAAAGACGATTAGGCCCAATGTCTTCTGTTGTCCTTTCATGTTAACTCAGCCTTACCCCTACTCTACTTCTAACTATTGTGAACGCCCTCTATCCATGTGCCGCTCTTCCCCCCCTCTTTTCTCACCACTCTTAGCCCCTCAACTCGCATCCCCTTATCCACAGCCTTGCACATATCGTAAATGGTCAATGCCGCGGTTGAAGCGGCTGTAAGTGCCTCCATTTCCACGCCAGTTTTTCCATCGCATGATACAGTGGCCGTGACCTCCACGCTTCCAAATGCATTACAAGGAACAGATTCTGGAATAGATGAGGGCCATTTATATCCATCGCCTTGTCCTGTGCCAGACCATGGAATTGACGTACTTGGAGCGGGAGATGAAGGTTCTGTGCCCAATCCATCCTCGTGTGAGATCTGTAGGTCAATGTTGACATGTGTAATTGCAATTGGGTGACAGAGAGGTATCAAATCAGAAGTTTTCTTGGCAGCCATAATTCCTGCGATACGGGCAACTCCCAGCACATCGCCTTTCTTAGCTCGGTTGTCACGGATGAGTGGAATGACTACTTTGTTGGAGAAGTGAACACTGCAGACTGCAACCGCAGTTCTTTTCGTCGGCTGTTTGGAGGAAATAGAAACCATGTGGGCATCGCCAGATTGTGTAAGGTGGGTAAGTTTGTGTGCCTGCGAGGGACTCGAATCTGATGCATTGTTCATTGAAGACTTCCCCATCTCACTGGCAATGTTATCCATTTGAGCCGGGGTAGCTTTGCTGGAGTATAGACGTGCATAACTAGGAGGTATAAATGGCAGGAGGTTTAGAGGGATATTTTGGGATCGATCTGCCAGCCGGCCTCTCATGTTTCGAAAGAGTGCCTTTGGACCACGATGGTATTTGTCACCTGGATTGGATGTCAGTCTCAACCACGTGTTATACTGCAGAAGCGCTGATTCTTACTTGCAGCTATATAAAATTTAAGATACTGATTAAATACATGAGGGTATTGAATTGACGCCAATGCGATATACAAATAATTTCATGTCATCGTGTGGTTCGCACCTATCTCCATGGAAAATGAAACCTACCCACCTATTAAGATCATGGGTCTGTTTTTCATGTTTTCCAATTCACCCATGCCGGCGTGCTTTTCCTTTTTTCGACTCACGGCCATGCCAATAACTTCTAGCAACTCTCTCTCATTAGAGGAGCTTCCTAGAGGGCTATGGGCATCTCCAAGACCCTGTTTCCTACCCATTTCTATTTGCTTCATTGCCTCAAAAGCTTGCTCATCGATTGGCTGGTTGCCATTTGATTTTCTCAAGATATCCCTCAAGGACACTTCAGCATTGCCAAATAAGCATACCTTCAAGTTGCCATCACTCGTGATTCTTAATCTGTTGCAAGTACCACAGAAATTGTGTGTCATACTTGTGATAAACCCCATCTTTCCCACAAATCCAGGAATCTCGTAAGTCTTACTTGTGTCATTTTTGTGATCTGCCACTTTTCGAAGTGTCGGATACTTCTGCCGTATGATATCAAGCATTTCTTTATAGCTTAGCATTTTGCCTTGGCTCCACTTGTTGCCGTCAAATGGCATATACTCGATGAACCTAACTTCGACGTCTTTATCTCGGCCCATTTCGACAAATGGTATGATTTCTCTTTCATTGACCCCACGCATTACAACGCAATTAATCTTGAGTTTTATGCCAGCACCTAATTTGTTCATATGTAGTATCCTATCTATACTTTTCATCACAGCTTCAAAACCCTTCCTTCGAGTCATAATCTGGAACTGCCATGGATCTAAAGTATCCAGACTTAAGTTGACTCCAGTTAAACCGGCTTCCACCATGCTATCCAGCTTTCTTGCAAGGTTTAATCCATTTGTGGTAAGACAGAGCTCCCGCAGACCATGAGATCGCAAAGCTCCAATCTGTTGCATAAGAGGCAAGATATCGCGACGAACGGTCGGCTCACCACCAGTAAGACGGATCTTCGAAACCCCTTGAGAAACAAATATAGAAGATAGAAGTACGATTTCTGGTGTTGTAAGAAGATCTGGCTGTGGCGATTGCGGAACCCCCTCTTCTGGCATACAGTATAAGCATCGCAGATTGCATTTTTCTGTAATTGAAATTCGAAGATAATCGTGCTGTCTTTGGAAATTATCGGTAAGAAAGGACGAAAAGGGTTTGGCATTTTTGAGTTCGTCCCTTCTATTTGAAGTCTTGCTTAATGATGGTTTTGTGTCCTCGCGCAGAGGTAAATCGTGCCGGGAGAGCTCTTGGATTGAGGAAGCAGCAGTGGACAGTGTTTTGTGTGCGTTCCGAGATAGCAGGTTGAGCTTGCCATTTCTGAGTGTACTTTCTCGAAAAGCTCTTCTCAAGGACAGCATCTTGTGAGAAAGGAGACGCTATATTAAAGATATATTCTGGAAGAAACGAGATGATATAGTTAATCAAAGATATCTCTGGGCTTTCAATATCCGGTGGCGTAGAACAGTTAGATGCTCTTCAATCATTTCGCTCATCAAGTAACCTTATACCTGTCTCCCTGAGTATTGAATGGTCTTGCCTCCTTATCGTCGCAGTGACACATCATCTCAGTTCTCAGGTTTTGCAAAGATTTTAGTCTGTCAGAATAGTCGAGACTCATATGGATTTGTAAAGACGAATTGTAACTGGAGGGGCAGCGGCCATTTCCGTCCATTCTCCGAGTTGCCGCACGATAGCCTAGCTGACTCATCAAAGCTTATCGTTATCGGCCAATCTTATAGTGCGGGGCTTCCGCAGATCTTAGGTATTGTGCAAAGCTTGAGCTTAGGTAGTAGGTAGAAAGTTAGAAACCAAAGGTGCACTCACCTCCATTCAATTCACAATGCGATTCTCTCGTCCCCTCAAATGTAAGTGTGAAGTTGAACAACTTCCGTTTTGTAAGGCATATATTAATACAAATATATATCTTAGCATCAAATCAATCTCTTCCGAGTCCCAATGGTGTATATATTGCGACTATTCTGCCATCGGCACTTCAATTTAGAGAGACGCGCTCCCTTGAGATAATACGCTCCATATCACTTCCACCTGAGCTCACAGCCTCAATAACATCATTCATATGGTCATGCTCTTCCAATCGCCTACTTGTAGCGTCTGCGGATGTCATACGCATATTTTCCCCAAGTAACAATCGCTTCTCAGCCAAAATTACGAGTCCAACCTCAGGAACCACGAAGACCACATTCATTTCATTTGGAGGAAACGACGATGAAGTCTGTGTCTTTTCAGATTTTGGTTTGAAGTTGACCATCTTTAATCTGGCTACTTCGAAGTCAGTGGATATCACCTCTCCCAAGCTCTTCACTCCTGCTACTGCCGCAAAAGGATTCTCACACCGTCCGCGATCCGGAAACTTGGCTTTATTGACGAGAATTGGTGGCAAAGACGTGATTAGTATACACAAATCGGGAAGCTTGGAGGTTATAAGATCATGGCTACCAGAAACGATTGACGCTCAAGAGATAACTTGGAGTCCAGATGGAAAATGGATAACAATATGCGAATCTGCTAGCCAAGGCCACAAATTACTGCTTTATACAGCCGATGGTCACTTGTATAAGGCTTGGAATGGCCCGACCCCAATCCTCGAGGAGGAAAAGGATATCGCTTTAGGCGCCGGGATTAAAATGATCGAATGGAGCCCAATAGGAACACATATTGCTATTTCCGATTTTAGTCGAAGAGTTGTGTTGTTGGCTGCTCCAGCGTTCTCAGAATCTATGGTACTATCCCACATACCTTCTGTAAACCCCACAGATACGCTACACGTACGTCAACCTACCTTATACCCCAAGACAACGAACCCTAACTTTTCAGATTTGGAATGAACAAATTTCGCCATCTCCCAATGGAGGATTCACTCGAGAATTCGTTCGAGGGAAACAGCCGACATTACCTCCAGAAGCAACTGCCATTCCAACTGCAGAGCCAAAGACTGGCACCAATATGATGACTTTCGATATTTCTGGCACACTACTAGCAACCAAGGTTGAGGAAATGCCATCAGCAGTCTGGGTTTGGGATGTTGGGTCTCGATCACTTAGAGCACTGTTGATAATGCACGCTCCGGTAGCTAGGGTGACTTTCCATCCTACTGTCAACGAACTTTTGATGATTAGATGCGAGGGCGAAGAAAACAAGGGCCGGATTCAACTATGGGACCCATCTTGGGAGGCTCCAAGAATTGTTAATTTTGGAATGCAAATGCCCGAGGGTAAAATCATTGGGAAGTCGATCATCAAGTGGCTCAATGTAGCATCTGTATCTCCTTCCATTTTCTTTAGCGATTCGCAAGACTGCATTCTCTTATCATTGTCCAAGCTAGAGGATACCGAAATGGTCCCTTGGCATGAATCGGAGGCGAGAGGAGTCGATATTTATGGTCAAACACAAGAGTCGCCCTTGAACCTCGTTGAAGGCGATGACAAGCGACATTCTAAACGCGTGAACGCGGATGATATCGCTGACATTGATAACACATACATGGACATGAGCGATGGGAGTGAGGAACTCGACGATACTTTTCATTTTCGCAAAACCTAATACCCTTGAGTCGCGGAGAGCGGTTTGATTGACATGCCATGCGATTTCGCAAAGGAGTGTCCCCTGCTTATATTGAGGGGCCCCTGACGCCCCAACTGCGTGGTGGGAAATGCAATAATCGGAAATATCGATGGCCTTTGTATGATTCTCTCTACAATATGCATTCAAAGACAGTGAGTGGCCCACGTTTGTATGATTTATGATATGATTTCGGAGCTTTCAGCCCATAGCTCGTTGATCGTGATTCTGTGCCCTTCTTCTGAGGGCTGTTGTGCTACTCCATCATTAATCTATGGACGCCAGAAACCAAAAAGAAACAATTAAACAGCATTCAAGACTTTCAAGCCAAGAGTATTCCAAATCTGAATGAATGTACGAAGCATTGTCTGCATTCTCCTATCTGCCCACCCAACCCATGGTCTACTCCACAGTGCGGCGAAGCAGGTGACGAGTCTAGAATACGAATCAAACCTCCCCCAAAACTTTGGCGTTCATCTACGAGAAAGCGATTGGCCGTAATTATCAGCACAACATAGACTTGGTCTACTCAATATCCAAAATGATAGTATACTAAACCTAAACCAGTAAGGCTTTCCGGGGGTTCAGATAATGCTCATGGATATATGAACGTGTGGAAGATTGGAAGTGTGGAAGTCTTTTCCACATTTTCCACAATGGTTCTGGAAAGTGGCTCGCTCACCAAATGGCTCTAGAGTGGGGATTATGTAACAAATAAAGCCTTGGGTGGGGGAATTTATTCTTCCAACATCCACACACGATCTTCAAAAATAAGGAATCCATAAATAATTATCTTCGGGCGAACAACAATGTTGGAAGCACAGTGCACATGGAATAACAGATAGAAAATGATCTTCATTCGTTCACTCAATCACAATTTACCATTAATTAATCTATCTATCCGTTGTCAACTGTCCACAAGAGACATGATATGGAATACATCATCCCATCATACATCATACACCCGTCATTCTCCGCGCATCTACATCGTTGCCAATGATCTATCCTCGTTTCTCTCTTTGTATGGATACCATACTTGAAAACGTCCAAGTTCATCCTGCTACTCCTACCTACTCCTACTCTTACTCCTGCTCCCTGCTCTCTTGTCCCTTTACATCTACCTCCCTAGACCTAGGCATGCTTTCCAACTACTGCGTCCATACATGTTCGGGAACTTGGGGGGTAAACCCATTGCGCTAATAGCCAAGTAAATAAATAACTTGGAGCTTGGCTGAGCCCGTCCTCATTGCATTGCCCCATTCAAGCTACCGCTCCACGAAAGTTGAATCCAAGATTATGTAGAAACCCTGCTTGAACCCCTGAAAGGACCCTTCAGACCGGGTTGTAGACTTTTGATGGGGACGCGGTACAATTTCCATGTCTTTTCAAACATTATTGTCCATGGCATTGGTCCAAGTGTTGGCTACAAATTCACTTCTTTACTAGCTGTTTGCAATTATCTCCATATCTTCCCCCTTCTCCTCCTCGCTGTCTTCTTTCTTCTTATTCTCTCATTTTGCGCAAACTTGGATCCTCAATTGCATTTTTGCATCTTCTTACGGAAAATGGCTTCTATAATGGAGAACGCTTCGATTGAGTCTGCAGCTGCAGTTGTTGTCAATCATCCCTATTACCCCCTCGAGATGGAAATAGCTAGCTATCTGGCAAATGAATGGACTGTGCCTACTCTCCTGAGCGTTTTCTTTGGTGCTTGTGCAGTATTGTTCTTGTGTACTCGCACTTTTGTTGCTAGATCATATCCTCATCTGCCAAGTGCTGAGAAAGCTGCCATATGGTGGTTGGTTTTATGTAAGTCTTCCTTATCAACGGTGCCACACAGTCTCCTAACCTTTATTATAGCTGGCGCAATCCATCTCTTTTTCGAAGGTATGCGATAACGAGTCAATTCACAGAAGAAAAAAAGTGGCTAATCGTATCCTTCTAGGATACTTTTCGCTCCATCACACCAAAATTATCAAAGACCAACAATTGTTGGGACAACTGTGGAAGGAATACGCCCTTAGCGATAGTCGATATTTGACATCCGATCCTTTCGTCCTCTGTATGGAAACAGTAACAGCGGTAAGTCAATTGCAAGCTCACCACATTAGATAGCATACTTATGAATTCCCTACAGTTTTTATGGGGACCTATGTGCTTTACCGTTGCGGCCTTTATCGCAACTCGTCATCCACTTCGACACCCCCTACAAATCATTGTAACTGTAGGACAAATCTATGGACTTGTTCTATATTATGCGACTCACACTTTTGATTATTATCACAAAGAAGTCAATTATTCCAGGCCAGAATTTCTATACTTTTGGTTCTACTATTTCTTCATGAATTTCCTCTGGATGGTCTTTCCAGGCAGTAAGTCAAACTTTTTCCGCCAACAATGCCAGAGCTGATTGTTTTACTGCAGTGCTCCTCGTCGATTCGGTACGTACTATCGCGCGAACCTTTACAGAGCTCGACCAGGTCAAGAACACTCGAAAAGTCAATGGTTTTGCAAAGAAAGGCCAATAAATTCTGGGAGATTATGGCTGGAGACGGATAAAGGAGGCAGAATACAGATACGATACCCCATTTGTTATTAAAAGCGTGTCACCATCTACTTTTTGGAGAAATATAGATTTCAGAAACTACCCATAGATAGATAGATGTATGTAAGACCGCAGAGGAAACCAAATCAATGCAGGTTGAAGAAGGTTGCATCGGCGAAAGGAGTCTAGGAATCTGGCTGCACATATAGATTTTCCCAAATGATATACCTATAATCATTCCTATTGTTTCGCTATATATTATATCAAGTCCTGATGCCCTCATATTAAGTGCACTGTCGTTGGACAGGGGATCGGGAGATCAATATTCCGATGCTGAGGCAAGAGGAAAGAGCTAACATATTACTCATGTTACTCATGTTATTTCTCTCAAGCATGAGAGGGTAATTCGAACACTCTAGTCACGCCATGTTTCTCATTTGTATCACAGGACGACGTCTCAATACTCCTACTTATTAAACAAGACAGTGACATCTTCGAAGCAAATCTGGCACCGAAGAACATGGTTAGGAAGTTTTTGAATGAAATATTTTGATTACATTACAATTATACGACATATTCAGAATGCAAGGCTTCAAACCGAGCAGTGCCTATTTTCATCCTCCAGAAACTCCACCTTCAACACGCAAGCCCCCAGAACCAAATGGGTGTAACAAATATGTAAAGAAGTGTGCTTGGGTATTCCAACAGCCAAATCAAAATATTCAATATCAATCATCAGTCAGGCTCAACCCTTCAGATAAGCCGCCAATTCGTCATTCATCACCATTGTGCTACCAACGCTGGCATGCTTGTCAAGCTTCTGACTCAAGATGCTTACTCTCTTTTGCGCAGGTTTCGAGAGGAAGAGAGGCGGAGGTCCTGCCTGCTTTTTTCCGAACATTCTTGGTGAGAATAATGGATCGGGTAAAATCCCTTCTGCTATCAAATCCTCTTCGTATATACTCACAGAGTATGTACTAAGTGGCCTTGGCCTGTGCAATTGTTCAAATGCAAATAGCTGTTCCAGCGATTCAGCTTCTGAATAAACCGAAGAAATTGAACCTCGACGATCATCAGATGTAAATGAACCACTCGTTCTAGGGGAGTCAACATCGGAAGACTCGAAGTTTGTCCCTTCTTGATCGTGCGAGGAACGAGACCATTGTGATGATGCGTCGATCGATGAAGTGGTGGACGATGATTGTTTTCTGTAGGAATCGTATTCTTCCTTGGTATCTTTCGTCATTGGACCATCGGTAAGGCTGTCCTCCAAGCCATGACCATATCCCTCGATTAAAATTTCATGATGTGCGTTTCTTCGTGGGCTGGGATGTTGAAGTTCCGGCATTATCGTCAGGGCATTACCAGCATTGGCTTTTGCAATTATGTTCTTGATTGATAATGTAGTGTCGACTACACTTTCGGTCCTTCGCGACAAGGCAGATTGCTTTCTTTGGGCAAGATAATCATTGAAAGCAGCTATGACATCAACTGATGTTTGTCCAGCACTGGAAGGGTTCGACCTGATTAGGGAGTTTCGGTAGTCTCTGTTTGCTTGAGCACTTTGCGTGCGAATCAAATTATAACACGAACGCCGGTCATTCCACGGTGGACATTCTCCAATGCGAATCGAAATGTTGTAAGCTACATTTTGGGTAGCGCGCACTTGATCTGGTACTTTCGTCGCTTGAATAAGTATTTGAAGAGAAGAATAGATCAAAATCCAACGAATCTTGCGGCCTTCCGCCTGGGAAATCTTTTCCGCTGCTGTCATCTTAGAATTGGCTTGGGTGGCACATTCTTTTTCAAAGCCCCGGTATGCACGAACAAGCGTACAGTCAGTGAGCCGCAGATTCTGTCGGTTTGTAGCCTTGTCAAGAGCGCTCATTGGATCCATGCCAGAATCGTTGTGATTTTTATCACTCTTGGGAAACATTTTCGTCGTAAAGGTCAACCGTTTGCTCAATGGTTTGGTAGCTGGTTTCGCATTATCATCTGGAAGCAGTGGTAGAGGATAGGGCAATGGTTCGATCTGGTATCGCCTGTCGAATGCCATGACTGCATGCAGTACATCTAATTCTTCCTTACTAGTGCTTGTAGTTCCTGTTGTCGTCGCACTGGAGTCTGCTAGAAATTCATACAATTTTTGGAATTCGGATCGCATTTGCTTGAAGAGACTCTTGGAGAAAGCTCCACTTCCTGATCTCGATGCTAAAGATGGATAGGATCCAAGCTTTGCGGTGTAATATTTCTGTAGAAATGCTCTAAATTTTTCGAGGTGAATTTGAGCATCAGGGCTAAGCTGCAAATATGTGTCGGTGAGTTCTTCTGTAAGAAATCCACTCAGCATTTTTCCACATGTGTCGAGTCGAAGGTCCATTTCTAGTCTTGCTCGGGATATGAAAACTCGATCTTGTCGACTCAATGACTATACAGGAATTAGATACTGCGTCTTCGAGCACACGTTATGAGGATATACACATACCTCGAAACCAGGACTATTGTGGAGTTTCTCGCACATCCCAGCACAATGCGCAAGTGCATCTATCCACATGTCTTTGAAATGGAAATGCTCTGCAAAATACATGATTCCAAGGGCATGATCCGGTGTATTCCTCATATCTGCGTATCCCTCTCCATCGATATAGGCTACGATATCATCCACGTTGTTGGCATCAGTCGATCTGAACTGAGACATACTATTGAGAAGTCCAACCAACGCACTGCCCAAATCCTGTCCAACCAAGGACTTCTTGAAAACCCACGCAAAGAAGTTTCGGGTTGCGGTGTGGTAGAGGAAAGCCTCTCCTCGTTCTGCCATGACAGGAGCTGGAATGTATAGCTCAACGTAATCAGAATCACTGGCACCCGAATAATATTCATCCAGAACCTCGTTAATGTCTGATATTGGCGAGCCGTTAATATCTTTTAACATAAATGCATCCAAAAGTGGTTGGCATTTCGCGTCAACCAGTAAATTCAGTGGTACCCGAAATGCTGGACCTCTCATCGATTGTCCTCGGCCATACAAATAAACTAGACAATCTCCTTCAGGATACCATAATTCGGGATCCTAAACAACGTCAGAATGTTGCTGATCAAGAACTACAATCACAGACATACCCTCCTCAAGCCATCCCACTCGATTGACCTCCGCGACTTTCCCTCCCACTTTCTGATACCCATACCATTTGCTGTCAACATGTTCATACTGGATTTGTTTCTTCGATGTGTATTTGTTTCTGGGCCCAGTGGCCAATTTTCTTTGGGTGAAGCTGGAGTGTCGTCTGAAGGTATATGTTCCTCATTTATGGAAGTCATACCATATATCTTTCGACCATGTTTTGGAATTACGGGTATAGAAGATAGATATGGCATCTCAGAAATTGAAAAAGCCATATCGAGATTACTATGTTCAAGATCTTCGACCTAAATGACGAAATCGATCTTCAGTGGCTTGATAGGGTCAAGTTGGGGTTCTGCCCAAAAGCCTCAATAATTCTCAGGATAGGGCGTATTGTGTAAAGTGGAGAAACATATCAAATGAATCATAAGATTTGAAAAGAAAGCTCAATTCCAGATTAGAGCAAAATTAAAAATGGATGACAGGAAGATTGCGAATAGTTTCTTCGATATCTTTACGACAAAGAGAAGCTTCGAAGGTTCATACGAGGGGACGCGAGAGTCAATATGAATAACTTTGTTTATGGTCTGACAGACTACCAATTGTAATACGAAAAGCATCCTGCCGTGCTACGAACATCCGTAATTTTAATTTTCTGCACATTTTGAATTTTCGCCACGTAAGGTGAAGCTTCACGGACTTTGTAGACAATGAACACTCGTGCGTGGCTTGCATGTACTTGACTTTTCGAGGGGTTGAGATGGGATAATTCCATGGTCACGGCCCCCAAGCTCTAGAGTTTTGACCTATAGCGAGGCTTGAGATACTATTAGTTTGGCTGATCTGTAAGCACAGACTTGAATTATATATCATTGGTCGAGTTTTCTTTCAGATTCATATGTGTTTTTCTGTACATACATTTGGGTTTCGCTTCATCGTTGATGGGATGATTTTGATATCATATGGACGCAAATGGATTTGGATCTAAAGCCATTTGAAGCCTGACTGCGTCATTGCATTTGGTTTTGAAAAAGCACCAGCTACGCTATTACTGAAATCTGAGTATCATCTGGAACTATCTAAACGAAATCCTCGCTGTTACCAAGTTGCCAATGCAGCTGTCCATCTAATTGGTCAAAGTGTCTAAAAACTCTAGCAAACTCGAGGACCAGTAGTTGCCAGTGCAATCCTAATTCAAGACTCGAGCTGACAAGTTCGGCCGCTTCGGTGCCGACGGGAAAGGGACCAAGCGGTTCTCAAGATATCAATTAGCGTGATTTCTGGTGCTTAGACACATCTTTTTCGCTCTTTAGTCTTGAGATTAAGCAGGCCTTGGGATGATGTGGGGATCGGAAATTAAGAATCTTGAATCTGAAAAATGATCACATCAAGGATATACCCGATGCGCAAGATCTATCTATCATAGAATTGAAGTACATGCAACAGATTGTTGAATTGAAGGCGTATATAATAGTGTCCGAAATACCACTAAGACGGGGATTCATGCAGTTGTAACGAAGTGGTTCTCGAGAAAGTATAAGTATATTTCAACAAGAGTTCCTATCAGCACCACAAAGCCATCGAGAGGGCCAAGCCCATATGTAATCGTGTCGATATCCGCAGATACTTTTGATCTCAAAACTTGGACTTATTTACAATAAGCCTCAAGATGACGCCGCTCAAACACCCCTCTTCCCTCCTTCATCTTCTCCATGAAGCCTCCACGCAATCTTGAACTCTGTTTCTCAGTGGAATGACGAGTATCAATTGTTTCACATCGTGAGATATATTCTCTTTTCTTTTTTTGTGAAGACCGTGACGCAATGATCAACATTTTTGAATCAAGTCGGCAAGCATAAATTCTAGATCCGGTGAGGTGAATGATCGGCAACTAGTGTCATGCCTACTTTAGTGACAAATATAAAATGCTGCGGGGAGTGTGGTTTTGATAGGACCCTGAATTGGAGATGAATAAAATCGGGGATTTAGTTCGATGCATCGAAATCTTCACCTTGATCGAATGATGAGATAATCCCAACCTGATTTGTTTTTGGAGCCTCACTAGACAGCAGACCACCTTCGGGACAATGGATGGTGACATGCACCGCTTTGACATTTTGCATTTTGCATTTTGCATTTTGTTTTCTTTGACTCTCCGTTGTTTATGCATAAGCACCATTGCCATCGCCACCATAGCCTTTCCTCAAATCTCTATCCATTCTTCTACCGTGTGTCCTCCATTGCCCAGTCTTGCATTTCATTCGCTTGCATCAATTTGCGTCTACCCTGCCGTACTCACAATCCCCACGTCTGTGCTGTAGAATTTCACATCACCCACCCACCCGCATATATCGAGCTATCTATCTATCATTCGTCAAAGCGGGACTAATAGGTAGTTAGCTGAATTGTTTCACCATTAATGTACGATGGAGAATCGGATGATTGCGGTTTGTGATGGTTTATCAATAGTTTGTACGGGGGATATGTTTACGAGAGGGAGGATAGTTTCTTGGAGATATTTATAGATGTATAGTCATGGAGATGAAACTTGTACGATTTTTGAAGGATAGCGAAATGTGGACGGATGGTGCTTGATACTTGGTTTTTTGATGGTTAGGGGAGTGGAGTGGATTTGGGTTTGGGAGGTTGATGGGAGATGGAGATGGGGATGGAGGTGGAGGGAAGCGAGGGAGAAGGGGGTGAGAGGATAAGAGGAAGGGAGTTGTGATGAGTAGATAGGTGGATATTTGAGGGTATATATATATATACATAATAATAAGGTCAATACTTAGATATCCGCTTGAGTTCCAGAAAGTGAAGTCAAGTTCTAGTTTTCGTGTATTGATTGCTACACTATATTGTCTCAGCATATTCTTGATTATCTATCTCTCTTTCAGATACTCAATGTACATGTATGATCACTTGTAAAGTTAGTACCCTTGTTTATCCCATTCGTCGTTTCCCATACTATACAAACCACCTCATACCTCACATATATATCGCTTTATATCATTCAAAAACTAACACTTAATTCATATTCCATACAAACCCCAATAAATCCTAATAAGTCCGAATATAATATCAAATATCGAATATTAATAAACATTCTAATCTTTAGTATCAAATCTGGAAAAATACTATAGTACTAAGGCACAGCTGTTTGCTGAACACCAAAATCATACCAAAAGTCATATAAATTATTAATATATTTCTCAATAATAATATAGCTTAAATATAATAAATTTCATATTAATCTCTTTGTTTTCAATTAAACTTTAATAAAAATAAGATTATTTATTTTTAGGATTTTTATTTATTATAAAATCTATATAGAAAGTTAGTATAAATCTAAAATATTGAAATTTACTAGTAAAATAAGCGAAAATTAAGAACTTTTCTTTTGATATTAATTCAATCTTATATATAATGATATTCTTTTATTTTAAAATTATTAAAAAAACTAATTTTGGATTTCTGAATATTTAATAAAAATATATCCAAAATTTGAATTGATTTCAATGATATTGAATATTTATTTTTTATAATTAAAAATAGAGCAAAATAACTGTTTTTGGTGTGATTTTTGGAACCGACGAACAGCTGTACACAGTGACTATAGGTGTCTAAATACTTAGATACTCAGATATGTATACTAAATAATATAATCATTAAGATTTTATTTTTTATTACTGTTATTATTACTATTACTATTGTTTTAATGATTTATAGCTTGGGATGAGATTTGGTACTATTCAAATTTTAAAGTAATACAGTTCTTTTGGTTATATATATATATGTATAAATAGAATATATAATATATTAGAGGGAATCAAAGGGAATTAAAGAGAATTAAAAAAGATATATTCTAGTTTTAGTTCTAATTCTATTTCTGTTGCAGAAATCACTGTCTTGTGTAACACCACGTGATCAAGCCTATCACTCCTCTGAAGTGCCTATTTATATAATTACAATATACTCTTTTAGTATTAATATTAGTAAGTTCTATTAATCTAATTAAGCAATTCTATTGCCCGATTCAGGTATATAAGGTAGATATAATCCTTATGATTATATCTCAAATCAATCTAGTTTATTATTATTACATATATCTACTTCCTAATCAAGGTGACCAAGTAATATAGCTATCCTTCGTAATAACTTCTAATTCTAAATCGGGTTCTGATCTTAATTATAGATTTTAATTTTGATTTTTAATTGGGTTCGAGTTTAGATTTCATATGTATATATGTTATGTATTATATGTATATATATACAGATAGTTTTTTATTTTCTTATTTTCTCATTTATTTTTCTATCGCCTTGTTTTTCTACTTTCTTATATATCTTTTTATCTTTTGAGGTTTTGTATTACGGAGGTACCCGCATTACAACATGAATTATAAGATAAAGATAAGCTTTGATATTGTGATCTACGAAAACAATATTATAGGAATCATAAAATTGATAGGTAGTTAGAAATAAGAATAACTAAGCAAGTAATTAGTAAATTAGGAACGATAGGTATCTATTTTGGTTGATATCTATTTTATAGTAAGTATAGGGTAATTATCTATTATAGATTATTTAGTAAATATAGATTAAATAAATAATAGTATTATTAAAAGTCATAGAGATAGATGTTATATGATAAATTGTTTTATTAGTTCTATTAATTGTTATTAATAGGATTAGTAGAATCCTATTATTCTTATTACTTTAATAAGTAGAATTAATAGAATAATAGAGAATAAAGATTTATATAAAGAAATAGGTTTTATTATAATATAAAACTTTATATTTAAAAACAATTATTAGTTTCATTATTATAATTATAAGAATTGTAATTAGTTATAACTATATTGAATTCCTATTTAAAGTTTAATCTAAATCACTTCGAGAGATCTCTAGCCACTTCTATATGACCCTAGAGACAGCTCCTGTAACATTTTGTTTCTATACTTCTTTACTTCTTTACTTCTTTATTTCTTTACTTCTTTACTTCTTTACTTCTTTACTTCTTTACTTCTTTATAGTAGATACTTATAGAAGAGATAAAAGGTGAAAGATAAATAGGAGAGGTAAATAGGAGAGGTAAATAGGAGCGGTAGATAGAATAGATATACAGAAGATGAATATAAGAGATAAATATAGTATCTAGATAAGAGAGAGGAGGAATATAGAAATCTAGATGAATATATATTAATATTCTAATATTCTATTATTCCACTATAAAAGTACTATAAATCTAATATATCTAGTAAATCTAAATAATAAGAATAAAATTTATTAATTTAAACTCGAGCATAGCGAGGATCGGGGGCTTGGGGGCTGGCCCCCATATATATTATATATTATAGAATTATACTATAGAATTATACTATAGAATTATACTATAGAATTATACTATAGAATTATACTATAGAATTATACTATAGAATTAGAATTAGAATTTATACATTAAATTAATACCATTAGGGAAAAAGAATTCAAAGTCTACGAATTCGCAGGGTTTCAAAATTATTATAATAACTAAAAAGAAACAAAAAAGTTCTACAAATTCATAGTCTGAAAATTTTTCTTCCCCAACGGCTAGTGTATAGGTAGCGAAGAGGGTGAATGATTTGTATATAATATATAGTAGAAGGTGTAAGTAATGTAATATTGTAAGCTGTGATTATTGTTATCAGTGTGACTGTGCTGTCATACATACTATCATCAGATAAGGAAGCTATAAAAAGAATGTATATGTATATTTTAAGTTATATTTGGATTTGTTGAACACAGAGTAATCTCTTCAACAGTCCTCTGCAGGTTTTGTTTCTTCAATAGTAGTCTCCGTATTTCCATCTGAATTTTTACCTCCTCTACTACCACCTCTTCCACCTCTCCCTTCCTTTCCTCTTCCTCTTCCTCCACCCCTTCCACCTCTACCACCACCCCCTCTCCCACCCTTCCCCATCGGCGCCTTCCTATTCCTCAGCCCCTCCTCCAAATCCGCCACTTTGACCCCATCCTCCCACAACAAACCCCCCTCCCTCCTCCCCACAACCCTCTTCCAAAACCTCGTTCCCACCACTCCCTCCCCATCCCCCTCCGTCAAAACCACCCCATTCTCACTAACCCACCACTTCATCTCCGGTTCCTCCACCAAACACCTCTTCACATCCACATATATCAACACCTCCGCATCTCCTCTCATTCCACTCACCACCCCCCCATCTTCCGGAATCCCTGTCCCAAAATGAACATGATTCCTCCCCATCTTCTTCAATCCTCCACTTTTTAGAATCTCCTCGTAAAAGGCAAAGTAAGTCCCATGCACACAAATTTCCGGTACATTTCCCGCTTCAAGCGTGATGGGGACCAGTAGCGCCGCGGAATCAATCGCGATGGAATGGCCCTGATTAGCACGAATCATCCAATCTTCTGGATTCTCAGAAGAAGGAGAAGGCGGTTCTGGAAGCGATGGATTGGGTTTCATAGAGAAACGCTGTTTGGCGTTATCGGTGACGGCGGTGCGGATATCGGCAAAAGTAGGTTTGAGAGATTTGAGACGAGGCCATTGCATCTGTGAGATTTGTGAGCTGTTGGGTTCATTGAGAATATATGTGCTACGTTATGTTGATGGAAAATCGAGGATGTCCACGTGATTTTCCTTCTTCCCTTCTCCTTTTTCTCGTACACCCATACATACTGTATACCTTCCTATTCTCACCCTTAACTTTTCTATCAAACCCTTCCCCCAAAAACCAAGAACCAAAGAAAAGAGGAAAAAAAAAAACTCACCACCAAATCCAACCTAGCAAACCCCTCCCCATCCAACTTCATCCCCTCACTCTCCGCCGCATGTCTCAACAACTTCGACAATGCCTTACTAACAAGCATTTCCCTATTTTTTTCACTCCCAGCACCAGCACCACCACCAGCAGCTCTTCCCTTTCCCCCCCTCCCCTTTCCACCTTTTCCACCCCTCGCATTCCCACCTCCTCCCACCTCCACACGATCTCCCTCTTCCGCCAACCTCGCCATATCCATTGCACCGACACCCTCCATCTTTCCAAGACTCTTTCCCCTTTCCCTCTGCGAATTTGAATACGAATGCGAGTATGAATGCGTACCCAACCCAACAACCGCACGATCACGATCACGATCACGCACCCCAAGTGCAAGTCCAAACCCAAGAATGTAAGATTTACTTCTTATCCGATTCTGATTCTGATTCTGATTCTTCCACCCACTCTTCCTTACGTCGTAGTACTTATATCCTTCTTTTCCCAATCCCAAGTTCCCAGATCTCTTGATGCGCAGAAGCGGTTTGTACATCAATTGTTTTTAGAGGGTGAGTAAAGAGGTAAAGGATTGGTGAAAAGGTAGGTGGTGGGGTAAATTTATGTAGGTAGAAATAGATGGATGGATGTTTTCGCTTATCAGCCATAGGTTAGGTGTACAATACGGTAAGAAGAATGGAAAGAGTCGGCGGCGAGTTGAGGTGTGATGGATTTGATTTGATTAGTACTTATCATTGAATAGTTTGGGAAGAAGTCTAGGAAGAGTGTGCTATTTTTGAAGTGAATACTTTTGATCAGGCAAGGTTTGACCGTTTGGGTTGATCTCAAAATTAGTTATTTGCACCTAGATAGGCTTTGCTTCATCATCAAAATACCTACAAGCACATTCAATTCTTACTCACCATCACCATCACCATAAAGAAAAAAGCAATACTACAATACCACCATCGTGTCTTGACCAAAAAAAAAAAAAACCCCCTCTACATTTATTTATCGCTAGTGAATAAAAATATAATACATTCATAACTGGACACCTATCACCTATCACCTTCAATCCCAGACTCCTACCAATCCACCTGGATCCATCTCCTTATATGCCAAAGCGGAATTCCAATCGAATAGCCATATCCAGCAACAATTCAAAGTGAATGTATAAACACATAAAGCAAGCAACCAAAAATTTCCCAAGCTTAGGCTGAAAAAAAAACCGCGCGCCCAAGACAAGCAGCAATATGTACCTAGAGAGTATGCCCTCAACCCTCTCGCTGATATGTAACCTCGCTGATATGTAATCCTCAAACCCCTCTAATCGTGCCATCGTATGTACCCAGGGTATCTTGAAAAAAATGTTTCTCTCCCTATGGTGATAAAATCAAAAAATAATGTAAAGAAATCCTCCCCCCAATAATCCTGTTCGCAAAAGCGTTGAAAAGAAACCGTAAAGAACTCCAAATTTTCTTTGTACAAATGAGACCATAAATGAAATTTATTGATAAGCACCATGTTGCGAAGGGCCTAATGGTTCCCTACTTCTCATAAGGCTACCAGCTCTGCTTCTAGCGGCGAAAGTCAAAGGGGCAGATACCTTTCTCTGCCCACGTTCTTCTGCCAATCTTCCCGAAAGGCTTGTAGTATCTCGCTCTGGGGTTCGCTCAAGATATCTTCGGCCACTGCCACCGGTGCTTGAGTTTATAATAATTTCCCTTTCTGGTGTTCGTTCATAATATCTTCTGCTGGGGGTCGATTGGGTGAGTAAAGAAGATTGTGGCACCCTGTTGGGACTGAGGGCTGTAGTGTGGGATCTCCTGAGTGCTAATGATGACGAGATTGCGCCAGATCTAGGATCGTCGTCGGGTAGGGGATGGCGTGATAATTCGTCTCGTGGAATCTCTCCTCTGCGTCCAAGTTCTGTCTTCGCCCTAGAAGGTGCTCGAAATCGGGCTTCGACTGTTTCCTGAGGATCTTCGGTTTCAGCGCGTCGATTACGAAGTAATAAGGATGTGCGACGTCCTGCAGCTAAACTTTGTGGTGTCGTATTCTCAGGTGGTGGATATCTCAAGGTTGGTAACGCAGTTGTTGCGAGAAGGCTGCTTCGTCGGGCTTCAAGACGACTGTAAGATCTTGGGCTTGCTTTTAACCTTGCTACGTCACCAGAAGGAGGTTGCCTTGGACTGACAGGCTCGATACTCTGTCGAACTTCAGTATCTTGACCATGACTATTGTGTCGGATCTGTGTTAGGGTAGTATCGGGATCGTTTGATCTTCTTTCCGACAATGAAAGACAAAGCTCCGTTAAGCTACGACACAAACTGTCTGCTTTCCGACGAACTTGTCGATCAGAAATGTTAGGTTGTGCTCCACCAATGACTGATTGGGAACTTGATATAGGCCCGGGTTGACCAGAAGTTCCCATCATAGCAGAGATTGCCAAGGCATCATTTGCTGAAGCCTCCAAAGACTTGTAAATTTCGGGATCCAATAAAGGCTTGGAATTTATTAATGCAGACCGTAGGAGAGGATGATTTTCGGCTTTAGACATATCAACAGTAGGAGCTTCAGTAGGTGATATGCTATTGCCTCGTCCACGTTTAGGTGATGTTGACATGGTAGTTTCCGTTGTGGTCGCAGTAGGAGGACGTTCATGGGTGGCCCGCGAGACTGCTGCACCAGATGTGGTAGGTAGTTTCCCCGTCAGTTCCAATCTATGTATGCGCGATTTTAGATCATCCAATTCGTCCCAAACGGTTGAAGGTGCAGTTGTGGACACGGTCGATGCAGTGCCTTCTGTTACACGCTGTGTTTCATGTTGATCGCTGATCTCCATCGGTTGCGCAACAAGTGGAGAAGAATGATAAGCAGTGGTTCGGGGAACGGAATACGAATTGGATAAGTTTGATTGTCGGTATGCAGTAATTGTTCGGTCCTGTATAGATGGTCGTCGTCCAGCATATGGCTGTGGTTCGAAATCGGCCTCTCGGTTATTCGTTCGTGGAGTTGTAGGGGTCGACAGCGACGTGGCTGCGAATGATCGCTTCTTTTGCTCGTTCGAAGTCGAGATCGCTGAAGGAGGCCCTCTCCTTGCGAATGAATTATCCCCTGAATCTCGTGGTAAACTTTCTGCATCCTCTGCGTAACGAATTGTAGGCTGTGTTTCTTGCTCAGGTTCACGACGAAGATATGAAGCACGAAAGTTAGGAGCAGGGAGCGATTGGCGCATGCCAATGCGAGACTATCGATGAGTTAGATATCATAAGCCAATTATGGTAACTATTCCGACGCAAGTTGGAATCGCAAAGATAGGGAAAGATAAGAATATAATTACCTTTTTAGAATCTAATCTACTCAAGGCTGGAAGGTTCTTTTGGCGGTTCAAATCGTCTTCCTCTTGCGCAACCTGTAAGAATAAATCCGCTTCATCGGAGTTTCGTTCATCTGGTGAATCTCTCCGAGGATTCCGCCCCTCTAAACTCCTCAATGCGGATTCCCTCTCAGCTAGATCTGGTTCCATTCTTTTATTGTTTGTCACACCCCTTGGCGGTAAGGTTACAGGTCGTGATGGTTTATTCTCCAATGATAATTGAGGTGCATAGGATGTTGAGGGAGAGGGAGATTGATCCAAATGAGATTGGTCCGCAATCCAATTTGTTGTTTGTGAAATGTATGATGCGCCTTGGGATAACATGGTCGGAGTAGTTTCTTTTGCGACTTCAGCCGTTATTCCATTCTTTCCATTGGCGTTAGTTAACACGTTCCTTGCTTTTTTTTCAGAGGTGCCAATCCTGGAAGTTGTTTCGTGTTGAAGTTTGGTGGAAGTATTAATCGTGGCTGAAGGTTTGTTTGGCGTTGGTGTGGGATAGGATAATGTTCGACGCGATGATGCTGATTTAGGTGAAGCTGCTCTAACCGGACTGCCAGTGAATGAACTCAATATTCGGGTACGAAATGGTTCTTTCTTGTTATTGTTCTGATTTGTTGGACTAAAGGGGGTCGCAATAGTAGAATGGTTTCCCGTGAATTTTAAATCAAAACTAGAAGATTTAAGTTTCAGATTTAGATGACTATTATTATTGTTGCTGTTTTTGTTGCTTAGCTGCTCAGCACCACCTGGGGGATTCATGTTGGGATTGGAATTGGAATTGGAATTGGAATTGGATTTGATATTGATATTGGAATTGGGATTGGGAGTAAAAGTAGAGGTAGAAGTATTTCCAACCGCCGCCGGACTGGAGTCAGCTGATGGCTGTGATAATGTTGACCGATGATATGGTTTGGTTCTAGATGCGGTTGGTATTTGTGTGACTATCTCGGGCGCATCATGTACTCTTGGGAGTTTGGAGGAGTTATGAACGACTCTATGGGAATGAAAAGACAGCGGTCTTGGTTTTGACTTTGTGGTAGTAGTTGGTGACTGAGGGACTTGTGACATCTTGAATAAAAATAGGTCAACATATCAAGTCCAAGCGAAAAAAAAAAGAGAGAGAGGTATGGAGAGAGGAGAGGGGAGAGAGAGCCCAAAAGGAATAAAAATGGATGTGCGGAGAATGTGTGTTTGTGTGTGAATGCCACTGTCAATGTCAATGTCAATGTTAATGTTAAAATGTGAAAGAGAAAAGGAAAAAAATGAAATAAAGTCAGATAACCAGGTTAGGTAGAATGATGTGAGAGAATGTCTACTTAGGTTCACACTTGTCAGGTTCCGTCGTCCAAGGAGATCTGAGCACCACTGGGTAAAGGGTAAAATGGTAGGGTAGCTATGCTTGCTCCTATGCAAAAAGTAGCTGCATCAATTGATCCATACCCGCAGCATCAAGATTTAATAACGAGATGGAGAGCTGTGCCCCATAAGAAAAAAGTAAATGTGCGAATTGTATTGGATAGATGAGAATAATTGGAGAATTGATAACGGATTCATGTATCCTGTCATGTTGCTTTTATTACTTGACAATTGTGTATATCTACCTGGGTACACATAGATATATACACATATACACATATACACATATACACACATACACATACACACACATAGATATATACACATATATACACACACACACATACACATACACATACACACATACAATCAACACCACCAACACCTTATGAAGAGAATAAAGACAATAAAGACAATAAAGAAAAAGACACAACAAAAACATCGACATCCATCTACGTAAAGGAGAAATGCGGCCGTGTGATTGGTGTCCTCTCTCAAATACTCCAACTCCTACCGATCTACGTAAATACTTGCGGTACTTTGTCTATTCATGTCATCTACGAATTCTCATTCCCTCCCTCACACTTCTCCCGTTTCCTCTCGGGATCCCATCATGTTGCAATCAATCACAAGTATGTTTCCCGACTCCATCTCATCACTCCTTAATCGAGTGAAAGCTTTTGGCGGTGCTGCATCGCATCGCATAAATGGCCCTGTCAAAATGCAATCAACCGTAATTTCCATCTCAGCACTCGCATTAGGGCTTCCGAAACCTTCACATCCTTTTTGTAGCGACCGTTGCGCAAGGAAATCCTACAAAGTATGGGAACATCTCTCTCTCTCTCTCTCTCTCTCTCTCTTTCTCTCTCTCTCCCCCCCCCTGGTCCTCATCGATGAACATGTACCATTCAAGCTTCTTCCTAGAAATCCGTCGCCCTACCTAGACATTCCCCTACATCTGGTCGTCAAACGTGGTTCTTATCTGAAGTCACATTAAGATACGGACAATGACGACCACCTTAGCAGGTGGAGCATAATATTAGTCTTCATGCAGATGCAGCAGAGGGTGTACAATTGAAATGTTCTCACACATTCGACACCTTCTACCGTCTTTTGATTCGAAGGAGACCGACCCTCTCACGCTCTGCGTTTGGGAAGCTGGCCCCTCTCTTTACACCTGACGCATGTAACTAGTAAATTACTTATCCACCATGACCTCTCACTGCATAGATTGTGCTCTACGCGAGAAACGTGCATATTGATGGATCGAGATGTTTTTCATGTGGTGAGGGGAACTTTTCAACAGGAGAAATGCAGAAGCTGGTCATGCTGAGATCATCATAAGGATGGATCGCATCACATCACATCACATCACATCGGATCGAATCGTATCTATCGCATCTGACTGAACGGATTAGATAACTGATCTCGATTGTCCAAAACCTGATGACAACGATTTGCGGAATCACGTTGAGAGCACATGTTATTTACATCTTCACATTGGCTAAGACAATAATAATATTGTGAGGGGAAGCACGACAAATCGACAATTCGCCACTCGCATGGAGCAGCTGTGAACCCTCAGGGCCTAGCTCGGGCCGTGGCCACTGTCAAGCGGAGAAATAATTTGTATCATCCTGTACTATCTATCATTCAGCTCCTGTACCTGTACTGGTGGTCCACTTTCCAAAATAGCTTTTCATTATTATTGTGACTCGCGGTAGGTGGGTAGGTAGGTAGGTAGATAGGTAGGGAGGGAGGTACTAGGAACTCGAATCCTGTCACAACTTGTATCTTGTGTACGAGATGTATAATTGCACAGAGTAGATGTCATGGTTCGAGACCAGTTCTATAACCCTACTCGCAGGCGTGGTTCTGCAAGGCCTCGGGTGTCCAGGGAGAGTTGTAGTGTCGTACAGCCTCAACTGCAAGTCAGATCCTTTGAATGGTTGAATGGCTGACAAGCTGATCTGGGATCCCAATGGTCAAGAAATGACTGCCGAAGATCGGAAGAATTTTCGAAGCAACCGGTTGATGTAGATTGTGTTGGATATACTAGGTACCTAATCACATAAACTTTCTTCCCGTATCGTAGAGAGCCTCTGAACCTTAAAATCGGCCAGACGAATGTATGGATGGATGGATGGATTGACTTGAACTTGAACTTGAAAGACACAATGATATGAAAGATGTACGAAGCACCATGTTTTACTTGGTGTCAGTTCTTATGTATGTTTGATGAGTGGACAATGATTAGCTTGACTATCCAATGAATTATCCAAACTTTATTTAGAATCTCTCATTAAAAAAAGTGTCGGGGATACTTGAAAATTTCTCAAATTGTTGCAGCGGTGGTGGGCCGTAATATGATGTACTGCATGAACATTCAGGGGCAAGGACCCATTGATGTCCCAGAACCACGAGGGCAAAATGAGTGTCGGCCCAAAGAGGTGACCTTGATGCGGAGGGCGTAATTTGGTCTGGCCCAATGGGTATTGAATTGAATTGAATTGAATTGCATTGCATCTCGCACTCGCAAATGGGACGGTTGTCTAAGGTCCTTCAGATATATGCTTTCATCACAAGTCTTCAGGTTTCTCGTGAAATCGATCGTTTCCAGTTCCCAGTGGCCAGTTCGCAGTTCGCAGTTCCCCCCGAGAGATAGCTACCTAGCTAGATGTTCGTCCCAACTTCGGCTTGGTCAAGTATTGACTGGTGTTTTAAGGCGATTCGAGTTGTGGATAGTACGTACGTAGATCGCGGCTGAGTCTCCTCCTCTGTAACAAAATAATGTGAGACCTCTTAGAGCCTTCTTAGACTGCATCGAACCCCAGGATGCGAATTGAGTTTTCTCGTTTTTCCATGATGAAATACAAGACCGAGGTTTGGAAAACGTTGACTCCCTAGTACCTGCCTACGTTTGCATGTTACGCACAAAACATCGTCTATTTACATAACAAGCTGCCAAACAAGTCTTCTTCAGGGTCGTCCTTGAACATAATCAATATTTCATTAGCATAACGGTGAAGATTCTCCACCTTCTTCCACTTTCTTTTTCTTTGGCCACACATGTATATCTATCTATATTTATCTTGCCTTGGGAATTCGAATGCGTCCCCTGAAGAAGATGAAGAAGACCTTTGCATGAACAAAGCTTCGATAGTTGGGAAAAAGGATGAGATGAACTCGGGGAATGAAAGTCTGTACTCTGTAATTTTGGGGTTGCTGTCTCAATATTCACGCCTCGCTCGGATCGATAGCCAAAGTATATCATGAAGCAGATATACTTTTCAGCGCTTCGATCGGCTTCAATACCGAACTAGTCTTATGTACTTGTCGACGTTCTTGCTCAAGCGTCTCGTGTTTCTTGCAATGGCCTTTCAAGTATCAATTCAATTCTACACCGGAGCTACCATAGTTCCATGGCATTTTCTTCGTACTCGCAGTCTCGTCGTCCCGTAGTTTCGCAACTCGTTACCAACCGTTGTAATGAGATTTCCCATGTGGGGTGTTCTGAAATGCAATGACCTGGATCATGCTGTGGCATGAGATGAATATGGGATAGCATGTCCAAAAATCAATTTCATCCATCCCCCGCAATGCTGGGAGGCGACAAATTGGACAAGACCCAGAAATAGGATTCGGGAGCGAGAGGAGAAACCCTGACATTTTCTTCTTTCACACATGAATCTTCGGTCCCTTCTCTGTTCTTGGACTTGGGCCTTGGAGATGATGGAGATACAGGACAAGGACAATCAATTAATGTACGTACACACCAGTCCAGGAGCAGGAGCAGGAGCAGGTGCAGGAGCAGGTGCACTGTGTGTACCCGAGGAAGACTAAATTACCCCAGCCACACTGAGCCTCAACCATGTACATACAGTCTTTCTCTCTCTTTTGGTTTCCCTTTTTTGGCCCTGTCTTCGTGATCAGACGGAGAGAGCGAGGATTCATCGATCTATCATAGTGTCATGTCAGGTTATGTGACGGTAATGTGAGCTTGGAGGAGGGGAAGGGGGTGATATGGCCTATGAGAGCATCAAAGCAAATGCAATTGACCCTTGATGATCCATGGTAAAGCCTGATGATCCATGACTATCCTTGACAACTCTTCCGTGATCAATCATTTCTCCATTGGAACCGAGTAATTTTTTTTTAATTTTTTTTAATTTTTTTTTCTTCCTTTTCTTCTCTCTCTTTCTCTTTCCTCTCTTTCTCATCCATTCTATTGGCGTGGCATCGGATATTCATAGTTTGTTTCATATATTCACCATGGATGTTTAGGACCAATTAAACTGGAGAGACAAAAAGTGGTTAAATCTATTTTGGCAACGCGTATGAAGTAAGTGCTGGGTAGGGACTGGGTATGAAGATACTAGGTAGGTGGTAGGTATGCAGTGTGAAATCCTGAGGCAATCGAATCAGGTATTCCACTTGACCCATTTGCCTGGACTGGACAACAAGCCATGGAGCCATGAAGTGATGAAGCGGGTTCCAGCTTGTTTTTTCTATGCACCGAATTGTCAATTTTGTAGCTTCGATGTGGTTTGGGGTTTTTTTCCTTTCTAAGCCTCTCTCTCTCTCTCTCTCTCTCTGTGTCTCTGTGACTTATTTTTCTTTAATTTTATGTTTCTCTCGCCCAAACCTTTCTTCTCTGACACCCATTAACTGTGTTCTTACACACCCTACCCCAAAATTCAATACTTTTATATCATCTCATTCTACCAGTATATCTTCTTCTCTACCTTTATTTCTTTCTCTTTCTCTCTCTCTCTCTCTCTCTCTATTTCATCGTTTTAACATTATGATTTTCATTGTCTGACATCATTCTTCTCCGCTTCTCACCTTTTTGATATCTTTCCTGTGGATTTTTTCAAGGACTCGATCGAATTCTCTTTGCGACCGAAAAGCCGCGGCCATTCCTTTGTTCTCGAATCTCGACCGACACCCAAAACACGCATACATAGATTGATAGATAGATAGCTACCTACCTACCTACTTATCTACCATCAGCTTGCAGGCCCGTTCAATCAACCATTCGATCGATCAATCCATCCATCCACCCATCCATCCGTGGAGGCGCAAATAATACATTTGGCGCATCAGAGTCCAAAGAGGACGACTTCGTTTGCACTTTAATCGAAATTGACATTGACCTTGAACTTGTGCTGGATTCCAAACATCAGGTATTCTATTCGATATTATTGTCAAAAGGTTGAGGATCGATTCCAAACAAAGCATCTTCACCAGGCGCCAAGAGAGAAGGAAACTTCCAATCTCGAGGATAAATAAAATAAAGCGATTACTCTCATCTCAACCTTCGACCGATTCCATTCCTGCAGTTCCTCAACTTCCCCTTCAGGTACCCCAGACGAGAGACCAGCCCTATTTGAGATACCCCACGGAAATCAACAAATACAATCTGTTCCTTTCATCTGTTCTTGATCAGATCAATTAACTCTTATCTCTCTACCATTTGTCCCTCCATCTATCTATTCATCCGATCCACGAGTGATTCTTGTGGAATTTGGGAGCGCAAGGGAAGTTTCTACAATTCCTTGATACGATATTTTACAGGTGTTTCTGTACCCACCCACTCACTCACCCACCTCCTCAACTTGATTCGATCAGTAAAAGAAGATATACTTTGCAAAGGATATATATCTATATATATCTATATCAATATATCTGCAATTTACAGCATCTCCAAAGTTACACACTCTACAACGCCCATCTCATCTCATCTCATCTCATCAAATCAAATCGATCCAATTCAATCCAATCTCGAATTTATCCCACATTCATCCTCGACGGCTTTCGTGCAGACGGAAGGCTTGGTCTGGGTACACCCGCCTTTATTACAAAGTACCCTCCTCTCTTATAATAGTTGCAGGCAATAGAGAGAGAAAACTCACGCACACATACATACACACACATACACACATACACACACACATACATAGTAAGGGATCTTTTTTACTTTGGCTTTGTATTACTTTATTATTTTATTGGTTCACATTTACCCGCCCTGTCTATTTTTAAACCCCCTGCATTTCACTTTATTACCCTTATTCGCTGAGAACGGTGCGCTGACTTATTAGTTCTCAAACCTACCTACCTTTACTATACCTAGTAGCATTCTAGTGCTCAGCAACCCTGCCCACTACCACCACCACCACCACCAACATTGTCGAGACATCCTCGTTTCTCGAAACTCTCAATCCTTCAATCTTGTTTCCCCCCCCAAAAGGTTCAATTTGGAAAGTTTGACATTTTTCCAACAATAACATTATATCCTGTTATAATCGGTCGTTCGTAATTTGACCCGGTCATACATTGGAACCTACCTATCCTATTATTCATTCAGGTACACACACACGCACATACGCACAACTTCGAATAATAATAACTGCGGCGTCTCGCGTGCAATACCCAGGTAAGGCAAAGATTAGGTTACCCCTCGAGGCAATTATTACTTTGTTCTCAAACTCATCTCTTACGACCATTCGCTGTATGCATTCCAATCACTTTGTCTGAATCATCACTTCTTGCGCCATTTCATATTCAATCGCAAAAATAAAAGATCAAGGCGCATTTGACGTTGGTTATTGTTGTCGACCCTTTCCTGGAAGTTTGTCATTCGATTGGGAAACGATTTCAAGGGCTTCATAACTTCAAGTGAGTGAGTGGATTCCATAACCTTCTTTTTGTTTAATTCTTTTAAGCTGGCTTCCTTTTCTCATTGTTACCTTCATTGGTTCTAGTCTCGTTATTAAACAAACAACACAAGAGTCTCGTTTGTATTTATTATTGTGCTCTTTGACAAGCGATGATGGCTGGTCCAACAAGCATGGCAATTGCTAACAATGCAACTTTGAAAAGGTCTTTTACGGCGATCACACCTTCACCACCTTCGCCGGACTTGAGTGGATTATCTAAAACATATTGGGGTATACAATTAGTCCGGAGCACACACGAATCATTGGCGCAGGCTCCTGTAGTCAAACGTCGCAATCTTTCTGAAAGACGGAAGATGCCATCAGCAGCAGGTCCCCGAATGTACGAGAATCATATACCGTCATTCATGTCAGTGTATGGTATGGATTCGAACATCATGGATGGTTCATCGTTAGACGGCGCTCACACCAAACTATCGGCTAGTCCGTATGACAATCAACAATTACATCAAAGCTCAGAAGTCAAGACCGATAGCAATTTACTTCAGATACATTCCCATCAACATCGGGAAAGTACTTCAACACAAGCATCCGATTCGACGGACTCTTCACCCACCACGACAGTATCTACGGTAGATTCATCTTCACTATCAGATCCATCACCAAGTTCTTCACCTGAATCGCCAATCACACTCGTCCCATTATCTTCATTCACTGGGTCTTCGTTTGGTCTAGATTCTTTTCAAAATTTAAAGATGGGCGAAGTAGATACAAGGCCGCCGCCGATAACCATTGAACGACCTATGACTTCACCTTCGCCAAGGAAGAAGAATCCCAAAAGTCTGGCTCTCAATCTTCGACCAAGCATTGATGAATTCACCTCGGAACCGGCTTCCCCTTCGTTTATCAAACCGCCACCACTGAAGGCTAGGAAAAAGCCAAGTATATTAAGTTTAAATACTGGAACCGCCAACCTGACTTTGGAACCTATGGGACAAGGAACATCTTCAATGTTGCAACGAAGAGGTCTGAAACATTCTGTCTCGTCGCCGCAAATGCTTTCAATGACAACACCAGGCTTTGGCCCTAGTGGTGGAATGACACTGGGTGACCCTTCCAGAGGATTTGGAGGTTCGAGATTGAAAGAATCTGGCGCCCCGAGAGATACGTTCACCATTAATGAAGATGATGCACCCTCACCAACAGGAGTTCAGATGGCAACTCGAGCACCAGGGATGTCTATTGGCGGTGATTCATTTGACAGGCCACCTACTGGTGAGGATTGCAAGTCTCCATCATATCCTGATGGTCCAATCCTCATGCATGAACCAACCATTCATCTATACTCAGAGCCTAAAATGGAAGAGGCTGCAGAATTTGATGTTGTGATCAATGTCGCGAGGGAAGTTAAAAATCCATTCGAGGCAAAATTGGAGGAAATGGAGAAGGAGAAAAGAGTTAGCTACATGACTGCCGCGTCCAGGCATAACTCTGTGGATCCATATGCTGAGATACCCGGTACAGCTGGAACCATTTCCTCTTTCCAAACTGCTTACGAGACTCAACCGGCTGGTTCCGAATCGAGTTCTGCGGAGTCATCTCCATCTACACCACGACCTAACACCTCGGAAATGAAGATTCCCGAGTACATTCATATTCCTTGGGACCATAACACAGATGTGCAAGATGAATTGTGGGATTTGTGCCAAACTATAGAATCCAGAGCTAAGGAGGGCAAAAGGGTTCTGGTGCATTGCCAACAAGGTGCTAGCCGATCGGCAACCTTAATCATTGCATATGGAATGTACATCAACCAAGATTTATCAGCAAACGAAGCGTACAATTTGGCACAATCGAAGTCACGTTGGGTCAATCCAAACATGTCTCTTCTCTTCTCATTAAACGACTTCAAAAAGGTTATTGAGAGAAAGAAGTTGGAGAACCAAGCATCTCAAAACAAAGACACAGTCATCAGGAATAAGAGTCTGACCCGACACAGACAGTCGCTCTCTGCCAATGATCTCGATACCGCATCTTCCCCGGGCCGTAACAGAGCAAACTCGTCTCATGTTTCGCCGCCTAGAGATCCGGTTGTCAGAGAGCCTTTGGTCACGAAGATCGCCTCAATCAAGGAACCCGAGATCAAAGAAGAGACAAATTCTGTTTGTAATTCGGCAATTGATCGTCTAAGCCGTTTTAACTTCGGATTCGGTGACACTCCACGCATCGAACCTTTCACCAAATTCGAAGATAGTCCCAGAGTCGATCGATTGCCATCACAAGAAGATAAATGGCAGCTTGATACGATGTCTCCTCGACCACAGGATGATGACGCGCATCCTGATATAATGTCGCCGCGTATAACTGAGATGACTCGTAATCCTCTCGAACATGCCTTCGCACGTGGTATTCCACAAGAATCTTCCTCTAGTGGAACACCCAGTCTCTTCTCTCCACGTGGATTTGATTTTCAGCGGACAACATTCTTCCCTCCAACTGTCGCAATTCATCCAAATCTCCCTCCCGCACAAGATCCTAGGAGTCCACCTATAACAGGAGAAGCTACTATTACACGATCTATCGACGATTTTCTTTGAGCATTTGCAGAGCACATAGAATCCACTTTACTAAAGAATATCACCATAATGTCTTTGACCGATGTTTTATCTATACCAAATTTCGCAAGCATTATAAGCACACATTTAGTTGTATGCCAAATTTTGGATTATCATTCGGCGTTTTTTACTTTTCTTTCATTTCTCATTTTCAAATTTATAAGCAATACGCCGGTTTTTTTTTTCTCATGATGGACGAAGATGGAAGGGCGTTTGCATAAGTTTGTGGCGTTGGATACGTAGGCAGGTCATCGTTACCGCCTCGCTGTAAGATTTTAATGAATTGTCCCTTTGTTCTCAAGGGGAGTGGGGGATGGTATGGAAGAGATGGAGTGGAGGGATAGGGTACTCACTTAGTTGAGACTTGGAACAACGAAGGAAATATGATGAGGCGAATAAATCAAGAGGGGAAACCTTCCTTTTGTATCAATTGCCTGACGCTGTGGGGTGGATGGCTACGAATAAAATTATATACCCAAGAGAGATATTTACTGGCTATATATTCTTTACTTTTATCGTGTGATTATATTGTGCATTATTGTTTACTCTATTGGCGATTCTTTTGTGTATAAACTCTATCAGTCTGAGCTTGCACAATGTCCCCTCTGCCATGTGTATAAATGCAGAACGTAGCTGGGACTTGGATGTGTGTGAGTCTACTTTGTAAGATTAATGAGAGAGCACATATGTATGGTATGGTAAATGGTTGCGGACTCTGGTATAGAGAATAAGAGATTCTGAATCAAAATGATGTGATGGGTATGTGTGTGTGTGATGGGAATGAAACTTGAGATGGAAATAGAGATGAAGATGGTTAATCATATTGTGTCTTTGGTATGGTATGGTATGGTATGGTATAGTATAGTATGTTTGTTAGTATTGGGGCTGGGGATTCAGATTGAGATTGATGATTGATGATAGAGGGTTTGACGAGAGGAGATTGATGAGAGGGGGTTGATGAGAGGGTGATGAGGTGAGGTGAGGTGATGAGGTGAGGTGAGGTGATGGGATAGGATAGGATAGCATAGGATAGGATAGGATATGATATGATATGTTTTGTGTTTGGAGGGCCGGGGGCTGGGGGCTGGGGGTTGATTGATTGAGAGGACGGAGGAAGTAGCGAAGGGGGAAGGGGGGGAAGGAGAGGGATGGAGCTGGGTGATGTTCTTAATGGTTGAGTTTTGATTATGGGAATTTTTTTGGCTTTTGGATGCGAAGTTGTTGGTTGCGGGTAGGAGGTAGGAGGTAGTGAGGGAGGTACAATGAATGATTGAAACAAATAACCTTGGAAGGAAGTGACACGCAAAGAATGAAAAGGAAGGAAGGAGAAAAGACAAGAAGCGACACGGAAAGAAGAGCAAATGAAAACGTATTAAAATTTTGAAAGTTATATTCCAGCCTAACAAGTCCGTACTGGGTAGATAGTATCCCACAACATAACACGACATATATCCCAAATCTATCCTAGAAAATTCATTAGGATGATCGTCCCAGTATTCCATTCCATTACGATCCATGATTCAACAGCATACTTAACCATTTTTTAAATACCAGTAACGACACCATCCTGATCATTCGCATTTGAATCCAAGTCCTCATGCTGAGGTTGAGGCTCCTCCTCACTCCTCCTCTCCTCTCCCTGCTGAGCTATAATGTCTGCTTCCCTTGATCTTTCAATCGCTTTCAAAAACTTGAAAACTTCTTTCGCGCAAGCCTCTTTGGCTTTCTGCTTGCCGTAAATGTTTGTGAGTTTTCCTACGGGGCCGTCAACCCGGGGATCGGATCCAAAATCTGCATAGATTTCCCAAAATGCCGTGCCTTCTGACATGAGCTTGAGTCTATAGGCAGGAGGGTTGTAACCAAGGGCGATGCAGAGGCCGGGGACGAGACTGGGGTAGGGTGTTGGGGAGGTGCTTCTCTCGCGGGCATCTGGAACTGGAGTTGCAATTGGTGTCTTGGGAAATTTGACGGCGCCGGTAGATGGCATGAGGTTCTGTGATATAAGCCAATCGACGGCGAGTTTGGAGATGAATTTTTTGGCATCTTTTTTGTTGCTGAAGGATGCTAGAGTAGTGATGGGCTCGGACTTTTGTTTGATGGTTACGGAAAAGCGGAATCGCTGTTCGGAGACCTGGTGCTCTGTATACTCTGGCACTGGAATGATGGCGTTGGCTTGGTGGTACTCTGGAAGTTATTAGCATCGATGTATGGATGAAGAAGTCTCGTGATCGTGACAGAGGACTTACCCAGTAGTTTTCCTACCCAGTTTGTGTTGCCCATTTCTTGCAACGCTTGCTCTTCAAGTAGAATACCACTGATATCTGGCACATTCCTAGTTCGGTTGGCGGCTGGTAAACCAGTGCGAGATCTTGTGGGTTGTGCATTAAGATTGTCTTGGTCAATCCTAAAAGCCTCGTCAACAAAAACTCACGAATAATATCAAACAACAGCACCTGAATATTGCGGTGATAATGTTATGAGGCTTGACTACATCAAATCGAGAACTTACTGAGCTTGCAATTCGTCCTGCTCTCTTTCAAAATCACTCAGACTCTGAAGTCGGCCTGCCATTCCCACAACGCTTGCTTGAGTACCCGCTAGATGATTCATACGAGCTTGGATATTGGGAAAGGAGCCGTATACGTTTGTGAAAGAACTCAACATTGAAAAGGAGCTTTGTACCTATCTTAGAAATGAAAGTTGTTGGTTTGTCGTGAACTTTTTTGGGAGGTGGGTGAGGCTGGAGGTAGAAGATTGGAGAAGGACAATATTTGGGATTCGATGCATCTACAAGGGTATGTGACTTCAGGCGGGGTTATGAGAAACCCATATCCAATGATCTAGACTTGGTTGTGTGGGATGTATATTGACTGGTTGTAAAGGTGGATGAGTGTAACATTCTCATATTGTATCAAGCACAGCCCAAGGCTTTCATTGAAAGGACTCGAAGATGAGTATCGTCTGAAGATGTCAATGGAGAGATTGCCTGCTGAGGTGTTACAGCCCCTTTATCCCGAACTTAAGCCGAGACAGCCATGGCCCATCTGAATCAGTACTACCAACAATCAATAAGACATGAGATCCTTCAAAACAACAACCTCACATCAACAATAATCCTTTTAATTGGTATCTGCGTCTTGTTGATTGAAGATGGATCTCCAGACCATCATGAGCTCCTTTACTGCTCAGGACAAAGATCGAGAAGTTAGACCATCTTCAAGCGGAAGTTGGGCCTGTAAGGCGGTGGATGAATTCGATGCTTTGTGAATAAATCTTAGCCCTTACACGAGAAGGATATATACTGACAGTTGATTAGATCGATAGAATATAAGCCCAAGCCAATTGAAAAATATCCAGGTTAGTTATCCATCCATTTATGGGCTTATCTAGAGCTTCCCCAGAGGAGGGGGTGTGATCCTCACGGGACAACTGCCAAGTATGATGATTGGTTCAACACGAATCATTCAACAATTTGATTCGAATCATGCCATTCTCATTATGAGTATCCCCAAGATCGTTACTGACAAGTCACATTAGCCAAACTTCATGCACGGAATGTCAGAAAGCATCTTGATGTCGGTGAAGGTCTCATCTATCTTCCCGGTCTACCAAGTTTCAATTATGAAGATTCTGATATGCCACCTGCGTTCCGACAACGTCGTTACTTCTATTATATTACTGGAGTGAATCTTCCTGATTGCATAGTCACCTACAACATCCATCGCGATCAACTATGGCTCTGGATTCCACCACCAAATTCCGGCTCATCCGTCATTTATAATGGAGCTCGTCCAACAATCAAAGAGATAATGGTCAAGTATGATTTTGACCATGTCGAAACATTGACCCATCTTGATTCATATCTCACTTGGTATGCACATACAGAACCTGGAAAGATACATGTTCTACATGATTACCAAGCGCCAAAAAATATCGAATTTCAGATCACTCGCAAAAATGGATGTCATTCTATTATCAGCGAATCTCCATTCGATAGCTCCAGATTAGAGGAGGCCATGAATACGGCTAGAGCTATTAAAAGTCCGTATGAGCTTAGAATGATCCGGAAGGCAAGTGCAATCACAGCACAAGGTCATATCAATGTTCTCCGTGGTCTTCGTCATTTGTCCAATGAGGCAGAGATTGAAGCCATTTTTACTGCGACATGTATTGCCAAACAGGCGAAAACTCAAGCATATGGAGTAATTGCTGGTTCTGGAGAAAATGCAAGCACTCTTCACTATATGGCCAACAATGAACCTCTAAAAGACAGACAACTTCTGTGTTTTGACGCGGGATGTGAATGGGATTGCTACGCATCTGACGTGACTCGAACAGTTCCAATCTCTGGAGAGTACACTGAGGAAGCTCAAGCTATTTATGACATTGTAGCTAAGATGCAAGATGAGTGTATTGAATTGTTGAAGCCAGGTGCTAATTATCGAGATATTCATATCCATGCTCACAAAGTTGCTCTCAGAGGTCTCATGGATTTGGGACTTGTGGAAGGTGGAACATTTGATGAACTTTTCATGACCGGTGTTTCGGTAGCATTCTTTCCTCATGGTGTAAGCACTTGTTTACTCCATTCATAATATTCCAATCTGACTGATTATTTAGTTGGGTCATTACGTTGGTTTGGAAGTTCACGATGTCGGACCTGGTGGAAGTCGCATCACAAATCGTCTGTATGGTTTCAGCGAAAGACCCGCCGATTGGACTGATGCCTACTTCCAAATCCTTTCCAACACTGGAGTCACCTCAGATGGTGGATCCATCCTCGAAAAGGATATGGTTGTCACAGTTGAACCTGGAATGTAAGTTTGTCCTATCTTGTTGGTATTTCCTCTCTAACGATGCATCTTCAAGCTACTTTTCCCGATACGCCCTTGAAGAAGTTTATCTCAAATCTCCCAAATATGCAAAATACATCAACAAAGATCTCCTACAAAAGTACTATCCGATCGGAGGTGTGCGCATCGAAGACGATCTTTTGATAACAGAAGATGGATATGAGAATTTGACTACCGCTCCAAAAGGTGAGGAAGCTTTAAAAATTATCAACGAAGGAAAAGAACAGGAAGAGGAAGAGAGACAAGCGAATAAGAAAGTTGCGGAGTCTAGAAAGCAAAAGAAAACTTGGTTTTGGTAGATATCGAGTGGTTGAAAAATGGTAGAGGTGTAGAGGTGTATATTAGGCGTTGTGTTACATTTTTCCCCTTCACCTCGGGCCTCGAAAAGATGCTGGGGACTTTTCTTTTTCTTTCGTTGAATATTATTGTATGGATTTTTAGCTTGGATACGACTCAATTCAACCTGTGGTCTATCAATCAAATACAACCTTTGCTATGGAATATGCTCATGGCGTATTGAATGTGTATGTTTGTATGCTTTATGTGGTTTTTCCTTGAGATGTGTTGAAAGTCATTTCCCATGTCTGCAAAAAGGAAGATGAGGGATCTTGTTAGTAGATATAAATTACATAGCCATGGATAAATGATAGTCTGAACCATAGCTCAACATATATCATCCACTACTTGGGAATCAATTGCAACTCACTTGTTTGACTTGCAATAAGCCTGCAGCGAGCCTACAAGACACCCCGATCGTTCAACCTACCACCCAGAAATCCGCTCATCAGATAGAATATGGCTAATCTATTCGGTCCTCTCAGGCTGTCCGATCTCTCTTTCCCCTTCACTCTCAAAAATCCATCCATCCCTCCCTCCATCCCAACCACCAAAAACCATCTCACAAGTACACAGAAAAAACACCAAATATCCACAAAGAACACCCCCTCCCCCAAATCCATCTATCTATTCAACCCAAACCTCTTTGTCCAAGAGTTACCCACACACATACTCCTTATCTCTCTCTCTCTCTTTATATCCATATCCAGATCCATCCCCCTCTGTTCCTTTGTCCCTTTGTCTGCACAAACAAGAAGAACAATCCCTTTGTTCTCCTTTTCTATATCAATCGCGTTTCTGCCTTCCCTCTTATTATATATATGTTTCTATTCTCCATTCCATTTTTAAATACCACGTCAGGTTTCAAGTATCAAATCGAGTATTATCCACCTAAAAGTCGCAACTATACACATCTTCGAAGAAACCAATTATTGTTTTACACATAACACAACTTGCTATCGAAACTCGAAATTCTACACCCTCCCCTCCCCTCCAAAAACAACAACAAAAAAATGTGCACCTACACCACAGTCCACTACGCCTGCTCGCACACCTCCCACGGCTATCCGCAACCCTGCTGGATCGCGCGCAAATCCGACTCTCTCCCTCTTTCCTCCTCCCTTCCGATTTCCTGTCTTAAAAGTATTCAGACGGAGGAGATGCTACCGGAATGGTGTTCTGGGTGTAAGGCTAAGGCTGCGATGGCTGCGGAGAGAGTGAGGGTTTTGTGTGCGGCGAGGGAGTAGGTAGACAGATGGAGGTGGATAGGTGAGTAAGTAGAGAGAGAGAGAGAGAGATAGGTAGGTATGTAGGTAGGTAGGTTGGTTATTATAGTTGAATCACCGGGTATGTGACAGAATGCGTAGGATAGGTCGGTAAAGTAAGGTAAGGTTAGGTAATAATATATAACATTTTGATTTTTTAAACTCGGAAGTTTCCAGCAATATGAATTATGTATTTTTTGTACCTGAATAATTGTAAATCTGTAAAATTTAATAACATGAATCGAAATGGTATATGCGTATACTCAATCAAGTATATATACCTAAAGCATCCCTCTCATCTTAATTTCAACTTCCCCTCATGTTCCTGCCAAAAATTTCTACACAATCTGTGTCCCCAATGCTCAATCCACCATTCCCCAAAACTATCCTCAACTTTGACATCTACTTTCAAAACTCTTTCTTCTCTCTTCAACCCACATATCACACACGCTTTCGGTGCCGTTAATCCTCCTTCTTGGGTCTTCACATGCATCGAATCTCCAATTTCTGGGATCGCCAAATGTTTCGATACATCCTTAAGGCTTGTATTAGCTACAGCTACAGCCGACCGAAGTCTTCCTAATTGTTCTTTCCATACACGGATTGTTTCTTCCGCTTCACGATCTTCACGTGCGACTTCCGCTTTGTCGACACCGGTCAATTTCATGCCGCCTTTTCCGCCAGCAGGCCCAATGCTCATACCCTGTGAGAGATGAGTATCACGTTTCCACCGTAATTTGCGACCGGCGATTATGTGAGCTGCAACAGTGGCAATAAGAAGGTAGGCGCGAAGAAAGTTGATGGTGGAGGGATCGGATATGATACGATTCTTGAGAGAGAATGGCTGGTTTGCTACGGCTTTGAAGAGTGATGATTGAGGAAGGTCGAAGAGCTGGGGAAAAAGCATCAAGAGAATCGAAGGAGGGGGAATGTTGGTAGGGGGTGGAAGATTGGGTTCCACAGGGGTGGGCTCGGTGACTTTATCGACGGCATTCCAGGCCCAAGCATCGGCTGCTATGCCAGATGTTGGATTTGAGCTAGGTATTGCTGGAGATTCGGCTGGAAGATCAGAAAAGTCACCCCAATCATCGTCTATGTCTTCAACAATAGATGGTATGGCAGGCGAATCAACATAGGGTGCTGCTTCTGGAGGTTTCTCGTCATATGATGGCCAAGCTGTCAAAGGAGAAGCTGATTTGGGTTTATCTTC